CTTCTTGCCCCATTACAAAGACAGAAACTGAGCCCTAATGAGTTTAAGTAACTTGCTCATGGTTGCACAGGAAATAGAGCCACAAAGCCAGGTTTCAAGCCGGGTCTGATTCAAAACATGAGCTCTTCACCACCACCATCCAGAAATGCCCAGGCCAGCAAATGTAAAGCTCGCGTAAAACTCCCTAGCCAGCTCTTTGCAGATAAGGGAAAGGGCTATTCTGCTGAGTATCTAGTGCCTAAGAGCAGAGCATATTATACCTTCTCGGTAAATGTTGCTAACTGATACTCTAACTCTGTCCCTTTTTTCCATCAAAAGAATTTAGAAAAAAAATTCAACAGTAGCAATGGAGTTATGCATTTTTTACATGATTCCTCTGAAAATGAGTAGGTAAATCAGTAGAAGCTGAACTAGTTGATGTAGCTACTATTAAGAGACCCTTGAAATCCTTGCATGACACTTGGTGATGGGAGTGAGACTGTGATTGGTTAAAGAGTGAGAGAGAGAGTATCTTGCCATCAGGGGAATAAAGTCAGGCTTATGTCGTGGAGAAAGCTTTATAAACTAAATGAACAGTATAGTACTGCATCTATGATCTGCCAATGAAATAAGTTATTTGAATCTCCTTAGTTGATCTATTAATATAACCATTATAAATTTCAGTTTTTAAAATAGTAAGTACCTTTTATATGGGAATTTGAAGGCAATGTCTAAATGAATTGGTGGCATCATTTCTGATGCTCAGAAGGATAAGATATGCAATAGTATGGTCTTGTAACAGTCCTAGATTAGGGCTAGTACTTTTTTTAATCTTTTGTGAAATTAGGAGGAGGATGGTAATAAGTCTGTAATTGGTTAGTTAGGGAGTCTTGGGCGAGTGAAACTGGGAAGGCATATGGACTTAGTCATTTAATCACTTATGGAAAGGTAGGTAAATTATTCAGTCATGTGGACTCTTGAGTTTTCTTATTTCTTAAATGAGAATTAAACAGCTTACCTTGTTTAAGTTGTTACAAAGTTTAGAAATAGTATATAAGAACAATCAGATCATTGCCCAGTATGTGGTAGATATTTAAGCCCCTGATTCCATGAGATAGATAGGTGGATAGGTGGGTGGGTGGGTAGGTAGGTAGGTAGATAGATAGATAGATAGATAGATAGATAGATAGATTGATTGATGGATAGATAGATGGACAGGCCATACCCTCCTTCACATTGTCCCTGTGTAGGTTGTACCCTGATTGTGGTACCTTTTCTGGCCATTAATAGCATATGAGAGCTTAGACACCAAAGTCAGAGAAATGGGGATTCAAAGCATGACTTTACCACCATCACTATGACTTTTGCAATCTACTTACCATCTCTGAGCACTGGTTTTCTCTGTAGAATGGGGATCATGATAGTATCTACCTAGAGCAGTTACTGTTGGGACTGAATGAGAGAATCTGTTTAAAGCCTTTAGTATGGGCCGGGTGTGTTGGCTCATGCCTGTAATCCCAACACTTTGGGAGGCCAAGGCGGGTGGGTCACAGGTCAGGAGTTTGAGACCAGCCTGGCCAACATGGTGAAACCCTGTCTCTACTACAGAAAGAAAAAAAAAAAAGACCAGGCATGGTGGTGCTTGCCTGTAATCTCAGCTTCTGAGGAGGCTGAGGCAGGAGAATCACTTGAACCTAGGAGGCAGATCGCAGGTTGTAGTGAGCCATGATCGCACCCCTGTACTCCAGCCTAGGCGACAGAGCAGGACTCTGTCTAAAAAAAAAAAAAAAAAAAATTAAAATAAAGCCTTTAGTATGGACTTGGCACGTAGTAAGTACTTACAGATGCTAATCTTTTTTCTTATTATCCAGTGGTCACTTCACTAAGAAGTAGGTATTAGGCTTTTTCTCGTATCAGAGTGCTTGCTCTCTTCACTGACACTTGATTTGCAAACAAGGTTCAGTGTTAATGAGGATGTAACATAGCCACTATGTTACATGAGAATAGAAGACGGAAGTGGGGGCCTTCACCCGACTCTCTCCTGGTGTGGAAGCAGGCCTGCATGTGTGGGTACAGAAATGGATGCACTACCTTTGTAATGTAGTGAAAAAGGCGTCTAAGGGAAGAACAGATGTTTCTGGATGGAGTGGGATGGGAGACTTAAAGAAGTGTGGGCATTAGTTTTTATTTTAGGGACCTAACAGCACAGAGAAGTAAAAAGGCACAGTTTTTAAAAGGAGGCTTTCCTTGGAAAGCCTGCATGTTTCTTAGGTAAACATGGAGAGAAGTGTTTACAAAAGGCTTGTCGTTGGCAGGAGGCTTCTCAGTTGCAGGCCTCTGTTTTCTCTTCCCTGTGGCCAGTGCTACCTGTACAGAGGGTCATGACTTAGGACTGAAGGGCAGGATGGGCAAAACAGTTTCTACCTTTCCATGTTCATAACCCTATCTAGGTACCCATAGTCTAGAATGAAGGAAATGGTCCAGATTTCTCAATACGTAATCATTTATATCGATGTATCTTTCAAGATAAATGGCAAATGACCCACAATTCTTCAGTTCCCGTAAACACTGCCTTCTTCATTAGGAGCCCAAATCCAGTAGGGCATCTGTAATGTGCTGTCCTTCTAAAGTCGTTTCTATTTGTTCTCTCTCCTTATTTTTCTCCCCTCACTACCCTTTGCCTGCCCCCACCACACCCCCTGTGTTGTTAATATATTCCCTCTTGATCACACCTGGTGTCATCTACAATGAAATATTACTTCAACAGCTGACAACACCTCAAGCCGTGCCTTAAGGAGGTATCATTCCGCTTAACAGTGTCCTGTGCCTGCCGATCCCACTGCAGTGTTTTCTCCGTTTAAGGCATTACCGCCACAAAATCTGTTTCAGTGTTTCCCTTGCTTCTCCATGCTGAATTACAGCCACAGTCAACGGCCCACTTGTGTGTAGTTCAAGAAGCAATTAAGGGCTTGTTTTTTCCTTTGAACGAGCAAGGGAGGGGGGTAGAGTGAAAAATGATCATTATTCTGATGATTCCTCTGCTTAGCTGAACAGTTCACAGATCTTTGATACCAAGAGTCACCCACATTTAAATCCATTTCTGTAACTGCCTGCTGCAGCCATGCCTGCTGTCAGAGCCAGCTGATGGCAGTTCAAGGACTCACGTGGCATTAGGTTGGAGCAGCCCAATCTGGCTTTAGATGTGTGATTAAATACAGTTGTAATATCTGCACAGTGATCCACGGCATGATGATGGTATCACTGAAAATTAAAAAGTGCAAACTTTGGAGACTTCCCAAGGAACTTTGCAGTTTCTATTGTAAGCCTTTTGTTTTATTCAGTGGGATTTATTATAATCTGAATATGGTAGTCTTATCTTTGTGTGCATGTCTACATGAATTAAGTCTATCTTTAGCTTGCATGTTCCTGGAAGGCAGGGACTTTAACTTTTACCACTGGGTCTAAAACAGAGCTAATGATAGAAGTTGTTGAAATGTTTTTGTTGAGATGATCAAGGGATGCCGTTTTTAATGTTTGCTCAATAAGTATCTTTGCTATGCATGGAGCAATAAGTGAGATCCTGGGAGGAGAGAAGTCACTGTATGTTGGTGGATCGCTGAGTGTGGTTCCTGAGCCAGCAGCATCAGCATCACCGGGGAATGTGTTAGAAATGCATATTCTTTGGCCCCACCCTTGGCTACTCTGGGGTCAGGCCCTGCGACCTCTGCTTTAACATACCTCCCCTGGCACATCTGATGCATGCTCGTGTCAGATAATCACTGGTCTGCATCCCTGCCGGTTCTTGAGCATCTCCACAACCTTTTTTCTGCAAAGAGGAGAGAGATGGCCTAGGGTAGGAGCAGGACTAGAAGGCGGGGACTAAGCTTTCAGGAAGTGAAGATGGGCTTTGCGACAGCCTCCCCGCTGCCTCAGCAGGGTAACAGTGTGGTCACTTCTCTCCTTTGGATGCTTCAGGGCTGCCTGGCAGCTGGAGGAGCCAAATCATTCCACAAGCCTGTATGAGGAGGGTGTGATATAGGACAGTTCTTGCCTTGAGGGGAATGACTCCTTGTTTCTCCACTGTGTATGTGTGTTGAAGCAGGGAAGGGCACTAATTCTTGCTCAAAATCTAAGCAGCTGTGGTGTAACGGGAGGAGGTTTAGACATGGAAGGCTTAGGTCAAGGCGCAGCTCTGCTCTAGTAGCTTTGAGACTCTGGGAAAATCCATTAACCTCATTAAACTCAGATAGACCTGAGTTTTCTCATCTCAAAAACTGGGATAATTATATCTGCCTGGTCTCTTTCATAGGCTGTTCTGCTCAGTTGAGATGGGGTTGGGATGGCATTTTACTCAACCCAAACCCTTACTTCTCCAGTCAAACAGACTGTTGACTGAAGGTGCCCTACCAATGAGAAGCATCAACTAATGGGGGGAGCAAAGTTCTTTACTGATTAATGAAGCTGATCCATCTGCACAGATGACACCCACTGCAGGGCTTCCCTAGGAAGACATGGTTGAACATGAGGCTGAGTCATGGCAACTCCCTTCAAGGTGACCTTGGAGAGCAGGGATGCCCCTTTGCCTGTTGCTTAAGGACATTAAAGTCTGATGGAAAGAGCCTCCTCCCTCCAGATTCCTAAAGCTTCCAGACTTTCTCAGTTCATGGTGCTTTTGTGTCTTGGAACTTTTTCACAGTGCCCCCTGTAACAGGAGAAATACCTACTAGCTCCATTTGTTAGTTAGTTTCAAATAACTTAATAGTAATCCATGCTGAATCTGAATGTGCCGCTGTTGTTTCTCTATGGAAACTTTTTTTTTTTTTTTTTTTTGAGATAGAGTCTCTGTCACCCATGCTGGAGTGCAGTGGCACGACCTCGGTTCACTGCAACCTCTGCCTCCTGGGCTCAAGTGATTCTGAGGCCTCAGCCTCCTGAGTAGCAGGTATGGCAGGCATGTACCGCCATACCTGGCTAATTTTTGTATTTGTAGTAGAGATGGGGTTTCACTATGTTGGACTGAAACTCCTGACCCCAAGTGATACACCTGCCTCAGCCTCCCAAAGTGCTGGGATTACAGGCCTGAGCCACCATGCCTGGGCTCTCCATGAAATCTTGCAAACATCCCATGGCTTTCCTGTGAATTAGTTGCAGCCCACAGCTTGGCCTGTATCTCATCTAAGGCAAAAGAGGGGAACTAGAACATGGAGAAATATTCCCAGGAGTCTACCACCCTCCTGATACTTCCTCTTGGAATAGTTCAGTAGAATAATGATTTTTTTTTTAAAAAGTATTCCTATAATTAGGAAGGATAAGCACTGACAGATATGACTTATTTCCTTACCAGCATTTCAAAGTCAGAATCAATTTCAAGCCAACTGTAAACCCATTTGTAGATATACTGCCTGTAGTTCAGTTAAGAAGAAATGGTTTCTTTCTGAAATAACAGAATTAACTGTCATACCTAATATCTATGTCTGTGTCTGTATCAGTGAGGGGATTGTTGGCTACTGCGGGGCAGGGTCTGGGACAGAGTAGGTGCTTGCTGTATGTTTTTGAATTACGTAACTTCTTTATAGGTGGCTTATAGGTAGTTTTAGTTTCTCAAATGGCTTCTCTAATGGCACCAGTCTTATTCTTTGATCTTGTTCTTTTAGGCTTGCAAAGGGTGGCATTAAGTATATCCAGCACTGCAGCTAAGGCTTCATGTGCAGACACAGGCTTACCCTCTCAAGAGCTCACAAGGAGAAGTGAGATCAAAGTGTGTTGGCACGATGGTGGGGGGCCTGGAGGAGCTTTTTTGCTCCTCATGATCATAGCAAGCATACCCTGTGGATTTGTGTCTAGGCCTCATTCTGTAGTTGACATTGTTCTTGAGTAGAAAACCATCGAAACCCACCAGTGGTTCTGAAGCATCCCACGTGTTATGGTCAAGATGAGTGGTAAGATGAAGGAAATAGTATCTTATGTCCATTAAAAGGGACTGCTTGTTATTCCAGAAAATTAATGTATCTGAAGCCAAGGCATGCCTTTTGAAATTTAGCAATTGATTCAGCAATGCTTGGCATTTATGGTGCGAACACATTGTGGAGAAATTGAGTAACTTCAGAAAACCCCAACATGTCTTTTTCTTTTAAAGTAGATCTAACATGGATGCCTGCCTCTCATCTGAAGATGGGCGAAGCATAATTGCATTGATGTAGGAAGCAGCTTGAGAAGGCAAGATATGCATTCCTATTTAATGGTTACCTTACTTTGAGTCAGATACCTGATTAACTGAATTTCAGTTCTGAGGTTTTCTCAAGTCTGCACAAGTCCATTTCCCTGTATTCCCTAAGCCAATATCGTTGAAACTCTCTTAAGTGGAGGCAAGTTACAGCCCTCCAGTATAAACAGTGGCACTATTGATGGGCAGTTGATACCATTTGAGAATCTGAACCAGCGAGCGCTGACAGGGCTGTGAGGAAATGTGCCACGGTGGGCTTCACTGTCCATTCCATCCCTGAATGAATGCAAGCCTTTGAGAGGTGTGCTACTAAGGATCCCACATGGTGGATTGAGTGTCTTGGTTTTAAATAAAACAGGAGCAGTAAGGAAGCTTGTTGTGACAAATGGAATCGCTGCGCCCTGCCCTCCACCTTGCCTCACAATCTAACAAGAGCCTTTGGCATAGGAATCGGAAGGAACTGCTCAGAGGAGTCAATTACAGCACAGAGGCAAGAGAAGAGAGACCATGTCTGGCCCTTGGCCAGTTGTACTTCAGAGCAGACAGGCACTGTCAGCCCTTTCTCTGCTTCTTTCTACAGAGAGTTAAGAAAAGATGCATTTGATGGTGGTGAGAAGTGGAGAGAAATCCCTCCTTTTTCAAAGTCATCTTTTGCTGCAAAACTACCTTAGGTCTACCCAAACATAAATTCCTGGAACGCACTTTTCCTGGAACTCCAATGGAATGCAAACACTGATTTTGAACACCTAATATTATTCCAGCACTTTATTATGGCCCATGCCCTGTTCTGAGCATTTTACATGGACTTTACCCATTTAATCCTTAAAGTGATATTTCAACCAATGAGCTATGCCTAATACTGTGTTCCTTGTGTTCTTCTTAGGGTTATATGGTAACCTCAGATATATGTGTTGGCCCCCATTAGTTCCCAAAAAATATTTTTTCCAGGAGTAGGGCTACATTTTATAAAATAAGAATGGTTTATAATAAAATAAAAAGTGTAGCTTACAGTAACTTTTTGTTATTCGAAATGTATATAAAAAAAGATACCAACTTATACAAAACTTCGTTTGTATTCTTTTAAAGTTTTGTTCCTGTTTTGTTAAATGATAGGCCTTTTGAGATAGATTTATTTGAAAGCCATATGTGTGCAATTCTTGGGACAGAAGATTTCTCCATTTAGCATTTAAAGTTATAAACTCTGTACTCTAGTGATTCTTGAAGTAATTTGGAATATGGAAATATGAATAGTTTTACCTCCATCACTCTGGTTATTGTCCCATGTTCTAAAATCATAACATAAAAATATAAACTTACTATGGAACTCCTTGTTGTCTTATCATGCGCCCCTTACGGGCTCATTAATGGGCTCATTGATGCCAATGTCCACTGAGGGAGCTGAGAGGAGGGGCATATACAGGTAATGATGTCTTTTCATGAGAAGAAGAAAAAAAAAAGGAAATGTTTTGGCTTTCCTTCAGTAACATATAATTTGTAATGTTCTTCCCCTTGTTCACAATCCTGTCCATGTATAAACAGTAATTTGCTCTTGTAAACATATACTGTAGTTAGAGTTCTATTGGGAGCAATTGGTGTTCTTTATCTGTGATATCACGAACATTTAAAAAACAATAATTATAAATATCCTTCAGGGTGAAAAAATAGTAAAAAGAAAGAAGTAGAGGATCTACCTAGAGACTTTAGTGGTTGTTTCTTACCGCCCTGTCTTTGAGTGTCCTCCCTCCACCCCATCTCTACCTGTTGACTATACCCTGGCCCACCCAACGCATCCTTCAGCACTCAGTAGGGCTGTTACCTGCTGCAAAGCTCCAGAAATGTTATTACTATTTGAAGAACAGTATTTAGTAACACTTTGTCTCTACATCTAAGATAATTTGTTGTTTTTGGTGACCTTCATCTCAGTTCTGAAATCCAAAGAATAAGCCCATTCCTTTGCATGGCATAGTGAATTGTGAGTTGCCCTCTCCCCTCCCCTCCCCACCCCACCCTTCCCCTCCCTTCCAATCGAGGGATGTACCAGTAAAATCAAGGTTTGCTTTTCTCTGAATGCTTTTGAGTTAGAAACCGCCTCATATTGGTACTATTGGTTAGTGCTACATCTGCATAAGCATGCAGAAGAAAAAGAATCAGTGTATCAAAGACTTAGTTCAATTCATAAAACTTGCAGTTACACTGTGGCTTTTCGGTGGAGTCATCCATTAGATTACTAATGGGGTTTTTATAGAGGAGGGAGCAAAAGTAGAATGTAATCTGAATATGTAAACCGCATATGTTCTTAAAGTCCAATTTCTACCCAGTTTTTTTGTAACTTGGATGCATTTCCAGGTAGAAACTATATTTTGCATGCTTTTGGGCTCCCCTGCTAGCTTATGAAAACCCATGTCAAGCATAATATAGTAATAAGGTTTTTGGAAGGCGTGTGAAAGGTAGCAGATAGCCTTCGGTTTAAGTACAAACTGTAACACTTACTAGTTAGATGGCCCTGTGCAGGTCACTAAACCTCTTGAAGCTTCAGTTTACCCATCTACAAAATTCAGTATGTGCAAATGTTTTATAAACTGAATATTGGTTTTTTGGGTACAACCCTGTGTCTGAGATAGAATCGACATCCAATAAATGTTTGCTGAATGAATGAGCAAACAAATACGCATGTATTTTATGTATGTGGGAAAAAATCCATCCAGATGCCTACAACTTCCGTATCCTCACAGTGGTGATGTTAGGGCAGGATCTGCAGAAATGGAGACTTCTTAAGGAGATCTTCATGGCTGCCTATATGGTGTTGGGGTCCCCTCTGCCATACCTGGTATCTGGATTTCTAGTATCTGGTATCTGGTATCTGAAGCTGCAGTAGCTTCAGGGGAAGGCCAAGGCATTTGGCATGAGTGTGTCATCTTTGGATGAGTGGCTTTGCTAGAAGGTACGGGGTATATGGGATCCCGGGGTGGGGGGCATAGGAGTGTGTGTGAACACCTTTACGGGCTCCTATACCAGGAGTTTTGCACATCAGAGGAGTGCAGTGACCATTTTTATTTGACTCATGCACAAGTTAGATGCTTGCGAATCAAGGACTTTTCGTATTCTTCTACCTCTGTGAAATAGAACAAGAGGTATAAAAACAGCTTTTAATAGAAAATATATAACGTATATTTTTATGGGCCCAAAGGGAGTAGATTAATGCATTTAAAATGATGAGAAGAAGAAAAAAAAAAACCATACTTTTAAAAACATCAAATGATGGTGTTACCTCCAGAAAGGAGCAGAAAGACACAAGGTATTAGAGCCTGTGAGGCAGTTCCATTCTGACTTTGGGAATGGACTTTGGGTTTATTCTAACATGACCCCTGCTTTTCTAATTATAGCCGGTTGTGCTCAAACAGACAGGAGGTGGAGTAGTTTTAAATTTATCTTCTGTTTCAGTAGACATACCTTCTGAAAATCCCTAAAATTTCAAGAGGAGATTTTCTTTCTTTTTTTTTTTCCTCAAGCAATTGCTGTGTTTTGAGCTCCAAGGGCTGACAGCTGTTCTAGTTTTGCTTGGGGACTTTTTCACAATGTGGATTAATCAATGTTATGAACTGGGTCCGTGGGGTTTTGGGAATGTAATTGGTTTCAGATGACACTTTGCTAGTCAATCTGTGAAACAGCCGAATGTTGACACAGCTGAACAATTCCAGCTGTTTCCACTCGCCCCTTCCTCTTTCCCTGGACGCTGCATCCTATGCCTTTATTTTTGTCTGCCCTCTCTTATTGTGACTTTGCTAAACTAATTTGTTATCCTTTCTGAAACTTCTTTTTGCTTTTTTCTCCATTGGGATGCCATAGCTCCCTGTTTATTAGATCCTCCACCCAATTTTATTTTGCAAAAGTTTTTTTTTTTCTTAGCTATCATAGTTTTTAAAGAAATGGTAGTTTTTGCCATTTAAATTCTTTTAATTTGTGATGATCAACTAGTTTGTTTATTTAAGGCCACTGTAGGTTTTTACATAAGTGCTTAGTTTCTGCAAATATTTGGTTTCACAACTAGTTGATTAATCTTCTTTTTAAATTATCAGAGGTGTACCATTGAATAAACAGTACAAGCTTTTAGCTTCATCCAGTGCATAGCCATTTTTGCTATTGTATATCCCTTTGAAATAGTGCGGAAAAAGAGATTCAGATGTCAGTATTTCTGCTAGAAAAGTGGATGATTAGAAGGAAGGCATCAAAGGAAGACCGACCCTGAATTATGTATAGTATATTAAGCGTTTATATATTGTCAGGGGAAATGGTTCATAAATTGCTTTCAGTGGTTTTTCATTATCAGACTAATTTCTCTTTGTTTTTTCAAGAGTGCTTGTTTCTGCCTCTCACTGAGTGGAGAAATGGTTTTAACCGCTTGTGTGCCCAAGAAAATTTTCACCATGTTATTGGGTGACTTGTTGCAGGTCTTGAGCTAAATGAGCTAAGCCAAAGGTAAAAACTTGGGTGATTGTGATCATTTCCAGTAGCGGAGACTCTTCATGTGAGCAAAGAAATCCTGTTCTTCCCAGAGTGGTTTATATTGACTAAATAGATGGCTCATGTTTACAGAACAACTGTGCAGCCACCTACTCTGCCTTGCTTGTATATGCTTAGATGCCCAGAGCAATGAAATATTCCGAAGTTGAGTCCAAGATGTCAAGGAACATGGAACAATTGAACCATTTGCATGAGACTCTGACAAATACATGCAATTGACATAGTGAATTTTTTCAGATATTTCCTCCCATTAAAATTGTTAATGACTGTAATAGCAGAGGAAATACTCTCATGGGTGGAGGCTATCTTCAAGACAGGAAATAATGGTTAGATAAACAATGTTATTTCTCTGAATGGAGGACTATAGACAGTATACACCCTTAGGTATTGGTTAGAGCTGATCCAGTTTAACACTTCTCTATAATCATTTGCGTAGTGAAATAGAAAGCCATCGTGGGCCAAGTGTGTTAAAGAGACAGGAGAACATCCATATGAACCAAGCCTATGGAAAAAGAAACACCTCACATTATAACTGGAGCAAGCATCCAGAATTATAGGTGATAACCTAGAAAATGGGCTTATAAATCATTTTAGACATTTTCCCAAAGACGTTGACCAACATATGGCTTTGGTTAAGAGACCTAATGCTGGGTATAATAATGGAGGATGCTGGAATCAAAACCAAAAGCATGTCTCTGACTATTGATACATCTATGGTTGGACCAATACTCCTTAAGAACAACCTAACAAAACCAAGGAAAGCTCTGAGAGGGGTAATTAAAGTAGCCAAGGGATTTCAGACAGTACCTTGGAAGGGCAAATGTATTTAGTGTCTTTTATTTAGGAAGCTGAGAATGGATGGGATGAACATTATAGAATGGAACTGTGTGAACTTGGACTTGTTCCTTGAACCTGGCAGCAGAATATATGCATCTATTTTGAGGGTGACACCACAGTGTCCTGGATGAGAACACTAGTGTTTAAGTCATTGTTCCACTATTTATTTGTCTGGTCATGGGCATTTTACCCAATAATTCTGATTCTTGATTTTCTTATCTAAAAATGAAATAAATAACAATCTTAAAATTATTTTTAAAATCTTTAGATGAGAGGTGTATGTCCACCTGCCATAATTCTTGAAATTTATAAAAGTATTTAACAAATGGCTGCCATTACCCTCGTTGTCATCAACATCATTAGAGGCAGTTTTAAGTTAAATTGTTCAAGTTAAAAATTAATGAGAGTTTAAAAGTTTAGGCCAGGTGTGGTGGCTCACACCTGTAATCCCAGCACTTTGGGAGGGCGTGGCAGGTGGGTCACTTGAGGTCAGGAGTTCGAGACCAGCCTGACCAACATAGTGAAATTCTGTCTCTACTAAAAATACAAAAATTAGCCAGGTGTGGTGTTGTGTGCCTGTAATCCCAGCTACTCAAGAGACTGAGGCAGGAGAATTGCTTGAACCCAGGAGATGGAGGTTGCAGCGAGCCAGGGTCACGCCACTGCACTCTATTCTGGGTGACAAAGTGAGACTCCATCTCAAAAAAAAAAAAAAAAGAGTAGACTAATGCATAGATAATATGTCAATAGTGGTTAACTTGGGAGAGGTACTAGAGGCACCTGGGCCAAATCTTTAACCTTTGACATTGAAATCAGGTTGCAGTCATTCTTTTCCACAGTCGTACCTTTAATGCAAGTGCCAAAAATGACAATGCTCAATGGACCAAGGCCTTAGCCTATCCACCCTTTTTTTTTTGGGGGAGGGGTGGGGTGGTCTTATGAATCCTTTAATTTCATAGCATGTGGATCTAGAAGAAGGAAGATTTTGATTCTTCAGACTTGAGAAATGACATTTTTACCTAGTTGGCTCCAAAGAGAGCTGGAACTTCTTGAAAGGGTATTCTGTGTTCTCAAGGAATATGCCCTCT